TGTCAATAGCGAAGTCGAAGATGAAAGGTGACAGCGGGCATTCTTGTCTCACACCGCTGGGGATATTAAAAGGTAACGACAGAAAGCCGTAAGCCCTCGCTTAGCCTGAGCTACGCGCGTATAATGATCGGATAATATTTACAAATTTCACAGGTACACCTTTCCTGAGTAGACAGTCCCAAAGTGCACGTCTATCCACCGAATAGAATGCACCTTCGATGTCGAAAAACACGACAACGGTGAGCCGCCAATATGTGACGGTGCACCAACTATTGACGCAAAGTAAAGATGTGGTCAATGCAGCCACAACCTGGACGAAATCCGGCTTGCTCTTCATGAATATGGCTTTCACGAGTGCCAGTCAGTCTGTGAAGGATGACAGAGGCAAGCAATTTCGAGGCTGATTCCTTTATAATTGCCGCATTCCGATCGTAAGCCTCCCTTGAAAATTTGGACTATGACGAGCAGCTCCAGTCGGTTAGGACAGTTTACTGCTCCCACAGTTTCACTAGTAACTCGTATAAAGCATCCACAACAGCAGGTCCCCCGAATTTGAAGAGGGCTGGAGGAAGATCACCTGATCCCGCGACTTCATTTAACTTCAACAGTGCGATCTCACGTTCAAGTTCTAAGCGAGAGGGTGGATTTAAAGAGAGCCCATGGAGCGGGGCGATCAGTGGCCGGCGAAGAATCGAACAATTTCGACCGATTAAATTGCCTTTCAAAGTGCTCAGCCCGACGCTCCAAGCCATTCGACAAGTTGCAGATAGACTGTTCACTTTCATCATGTATAGTTTCACTAATACCAGGTCTACTGCTTCCCGTTTCGCGTATCAGCCGGCAGCGACCATTTCCATCTCTGATGCACGATGAGACCACCAGGATTCACGGTCTCTCTTCAGGCTAGCACGGAGTTTTGCCCGGAGCTCTTTGCGAGTTTCATTGGGTTCGGTTCCAGCCGGAATGTGCCGGCGAGCATCGATAAGTTCCAGAGACTGTGACGAGACCCAATATCCATTAGACTTACAACAGGAGGATTTTGCTGCTGCTAGTAAATTCTGGTGAATATGAGACACGTGAGCTACAATGGCATCCAGTGAGCGTTTACTCAACTCGCATGACAGCGTACTTCGATACGCATTCAGAACAGCTGGTTTCGCCAGTTGGCTGGTGTCAATGCGCTCATAGCGTCGTCTTGGGCGTCCGCCAAAACGCATCCGCAGGTCAGCACATACAAGCGCATGGTCGGTGTCCAAACATGTGCTCTAAATCGAGCGACAGTTCTGGATGCAGCCTCTCCATCGGTAACAGCGCAGTGTGATCGATTTGCGTTCATAGCTGGTTCGAGACTGGTGGGCGCCAAGTCACCCTCCGGCGGGTGCTGTGTCGGAAATCAGTGCTCGTAAAAAATAAGCGAGCAATTGGCAGAGTAGGTATGGAGTCAGGAACAAACCGAGAACAGCAACTTGTGTCGACGTAACAGGGCACCTGGGTTGCTTGTCGGTAGAAGAACCAGACTTCGGTTTCTTCATCCTTGGCAGTAAAGGGAAATTTTTGAGCTTGCTGTCTTTTTGAGGTTATACTTTCATAGGACAGTTTCGGAACAGTGTTTACAAGTGTCATGCAAAAAAATTGGATTTTTGCAAATTTCGCTTGAGGCAAATAATTTTGTATAACCCTTATCCCAGGATTACATCGTACTCGTCCTCGGGTACTTACAAAACGTCATCCATCTGGCTATTTTTCTGGTACGTTTGTGTTTTATACTCAATTTTGCACCTTGTTCTAACCCCCAACTGTTTCTGTGGACTGCTCTGCTGGTAACAGGACAGGACAGGATCCAGGAACGAAACAAGCTTCCGCTTAACGAGTATTCCGTTTCATGTGCTAGTAAGCGAAAAAGAGCCCCAGCACTGCGACTTGATAGAATATTCTTAATATTATAATGATGAAAAAACAGAAGCAAGTGCAAGGAGAGCAACGCACTATCATGAAGTATTGAGATTAGAGGCAGTCAGTCAATGAAGCCCAAGGAAACAGTACCAGCCAAGGTTTGTCTAAGCTACGTTTAAATCCCTCCAGTTTCACAAGCTAATAGAGCAGAAGGAAGTTTATTCCAAATACGCACAACGCGGTTTGCGAAGAACCTAACTCAACTCTAACCTAGATCTATGATGCTTTAATTTCATGCGATGGTCCGCAAGCTGTCTGACGTAGCTGGTTCAAACAGATCGGTGGATCTGAGCCTACTGAGACCCTTCATTAATTTGAACATCTCTATTAAGTCAGCTCTCAATCTGCGTCTTCTCATTGAGGATAAACCTAAGTTAGCTAACCGATCTTCATACGGTAAGCCGCGCTGGCCTTTTATCATTCAGGTGGCCAGTTTTTGCACATTCACAATACAAATAATATCTTTCTGCAGGTAGGGTGCCCATGTCTGAACACAGAGTTCCAGATGTGGTCTGACAACATCATTGAACTAAGGAAGAAAGATCTCTGGCTTGGTGCAACTCAGAACTCTCCTGAGACGAAATAACTATCGCGTTTTATTAGTCGCATTCCTGCACTGCGCCATGGGTTCAAAGTCACTCGTCATGATGACACCTAAATCACGTGCCTCGGTGACATGCGGCAGTGTTAGGGACCCTTTAGATGTATGCACAGTAAACTCTTCATCACGCGGGGTTAGGATTTGACAGTTGCTGGTGTTCGGTGGTAAGTCCCACAAATGTGACCAATTAATAACGGTAGCAAAAGCTCTAGATAACGAAGCCCTATCTCCCCTGCTGATAAGCTTCAAGTCGTCAGCAAACATATAGGAGGGGTCTTCAAGTAGAGGGACGAAGTCATAAACATGAGAAATAGCAACGGACCGAGTACTGAATTTTAAGGAACTCTACTGTGACCAGTGCCACCAAGTCTAACACGAAATGTCCTACCATAAAAAAATGCAGACAGCCAAGAAATCAGCTGAGGGATTCCAAACAAGGAAATTTTTCTAACAAGAAACGGTGATTCACCGAATCAAAAGCTTTACTGAAGTCAAGGTAACATACTTCTACTGGTATGCCATCATCGAGACATCGAGTTATTTCATCAAAGAAACACAGCAGGTTGGTAAGGCAGGATTTTTGCTTGACGAAGCCATGCTGCTCTGCGCCGATCAAATTAGTAACAGCAAGATGTTCACAGATTCGATCCCTAATGATCTTCTCTAGACACTTGGGAAGAACGCCAGTCAGACTAACAGGCCAGTAGTTATTGGATGAAGATTTAGTACCAACTTTATGAATCGCCACTACAGCTGGTTTCCTTCAATCCTTGCCTCTCGAAGAAACATGTTGTACAAGTCAAGCATAAGAAGCTGGAGTATGTCGGCAATCGGCTTAACAGTAGCGAGATGCACATTATCGGGGCCAGTACAAAAAAGACATCCGAAGCAGTTATGACGATTTCGTCCATCCTGCACTCGCTTACGCGATGCGACGCCAACGGTATTGTAAAAGCATTGTCCTGTCGATGAAGTCCCTGGAAAACACGCAGCAACTCCTGCGCCTTATCAAGGTCCCTTGTAGCCAGTTGCCAACTACTTCCTTTAAAGAGTCTTTACAATAGACGTAGTGGTAATAACGCTTTGGGTTTTGTTTTGCGTTTTGCACCAGCCTAAGTTCATAGGAGTAGTTGGCCTGCCTCTGGAGTTCTACCGTCAAATTTCGACTTCTTTTGTACTCAAGTCACCTGCGGAAACCACTAGATTCATGGAACATTTTCTAATGTTTATTCCGCTGTTTCAACATGCGATCAATACGTTGGCACCACCAGTGAGGCTTATCTGAATGGCGCCTGCACAGGGAAGCGAACTCCTCTAGCAACTGCGTGAGGCAACTTGATCACGTGTCACCTCTGTTCCAGCGTTGCTTCCTTTTGTTCAGAAGCCCAGGTAATGCGTGCGGCTCTATCCCTCAGAAGCGTTGTATTAATGCGGCTTAGTTTCTGCGTCTGTCGACGTTCAGCTGAGAGCCTCGGTACACAAATAGAGAAGGAAAGAACGAAATGACCGCTCTTACCTACAGGAGGCTCAACATTTATGGCCGACAAGCAACAACCAGTTGGTTTTACGTTTTGATACTTGTTTCCCGCCGTCTTTGCAAGCGTCATGTCGGATTCACCGAATACCGGCGCTAATGTGTCTTCGGCTGCGTTGATCAGCGAATCTAATGCTGTATGCGGCAGTGTGAGCTGCTAAAAGCCCGTGACACACGAGTCTGGTGGCATGCAGTGCTAAGTATGCAACTGCTGGTACCATGAGACCTATACCGATTTGAGCCCTGATAAGTAGTCAATGCTCTCAGCTATCGATAGCATGCTATTCAATTGTTTTCTATGCCGTAGCTGTCGGTCTACGCGTCTTAAGGTAACTCAGGAGACCTCGATCAATGTCGGGCTGGGTAACCAGCAGATGTGGTCTTTCCTTACATCTCTTGATCGTAAAGTGGAGTTACTGATGAGGAAAATTGGAATCTGTTGTGTTTGAGCCCCACGACTGCTTCCACCCACTAACGGTAGTGAGAACACCAACGACCGGGCAACAATGTTCACGCAGCACGCCAAACCGGCCACCAAGCGTCTGTCTGTGCAAAGCAATCGAATCTTTCAAACCAGTGTATATACACAGGCTATGCGGAAAGGCTGGCATTCGATCAGTCAAGGCTGGTTAGTTCAAAAAGCGGGGGGTCGATAAGTTCCTTTACGAACGAACGAAATACATCAAGTAAGAGAAAAGCTAGTAAGCGTAAGATTCAGTGTCCATACAAGCTAATCACAAATGCGATGCAAAAGTGAACGTATGCGAGGAACCGGAAAAGTGGGCAGGGTGAGTAGGGGTGCGTGGGGCAAAACTCACAAAACAACGGGGAGCAGTCATCATTTCATCATTATACACATCAGCTAGAGATGGGAAAAACACCTCCGCTATTGTGCCGCAATAGTATTCTTACCTCCACTATAACACCTCTCCATCCTGGAAAAAAAATAAGTGGGCTGGAGGTCACGAGGATGGGATCCACCTGGGTGCACTTGCATCCGCGACCATGGCGGTTTGCGCTCCGGCAAAGACAGCAGTGTCGGCCGTACGAATGACTTGTAACGACACGAGCATTTAGGACAGCTATCAATACTACTGGACTCTTTGGGTAAATGTAACTTAGCAATCCAATCGGTTCCGGGCCGATTATTATCCGTACAAAAGGCTGGGTAGATAGTTCCATCGAATTGCAGATCCTTGAGTCTGCGTTCCCAGGTGATTCTTTCTTTCAACTGCAGAAGTTCTCCTGAAACATTTTGAGCCATTAGAATTATAGTTTTGACTAATACTGTGCCAGCTCTTGGCCTGGTTAATCGAGAAATGGTCCTGATTGTATGCACTGTTTCTGGTTGTAGCGACACCGGAACATTGCTGCGTTTCATTGTAGGATATCTGCTCCTTCCTGGAAAGTCTGTTCGAAATACTGCAGAAGTCGCCTCCCTTGCTGCGCCGCGAAACCTGTTTCTTTGGAAGTTGGAACTTGCGTGTAATCTTGGAGTATGCTTGCATATGAATTTGTGCGCGTTTTGACAAGGAGGAATTTTGTGAGCGAAATTTCTCGTAGAATGCCTCTCACCTTCGTTCCAAGACGTAGTCGAGGGCTTCTGGTCCGACACATCTGGATTCATATTTTGGCCATTAATAGCTGCGTGAGAGAACTGGAGTTCACTTCTGGAGTCTGAAACTTCAACGATTTTTGAATCACTGTTCAAACTAAGCAACCTGTGACATTCAGCTACAACTTCCTGTGATGTCTGCCTCGACGGGGAATCGAACCCCGGATATAAGGAGTACCGGTCGACTGCCCAACCAACAGTCGTACGCGGGCTGAGTATATCGCGAGGACACCTATTCCTACGCGGATTCGAACCTGCGCCGCAAGGTTACGAGACAAGCTCGTTACCTCTAGACTACGGGCCGAAAAACAAAGCTCCAACGTCAATCACCCCAGTTCTAATGGCGAAGAAAAGAGCCGTGTGAACTTCTGCCAAACCTGCAAAGTCGGAAAAGACTAGACCGGGGAGGAAGTTGGAGGTAGAACCTCAATTACTCCAGCACCTTTGGCGAAGAAACGCGCCGTGGCACCTGCCAAACCGATCGAAGCTGGAGTCGAGTCGAAAACTCGGGGAGTGAATACGCTTCGTCGAGGTGATTATTTTACTGATAGCAGCGTTATCTTCCGTAAGATTGTTAAATTCGCGGCAACTCTCCCCATTGGCTCAAGCTCTGCGTCAACAAGATGCTTCCACCTGGTTTCCGCGGTGTCACTATCAGAAAGCCAACCAGACTGGGGAACGTCTCTGTCGGTACGCCAAATTCGCGAACCCGACTACTTCGTGTAGTTCTTTCAACCCCGCAGGAACGCAAAGCGTTAATGCGCTTTGCATTCCAACTCAAGGGTAGCAATGTCAGCGTTAAGTCGGACTTCCCACTGGCAGATGCACTGAAGTTAAAGAAAACCATCAAAAGCCTCAAGGGCAGGCGGGAGGCTGGTGATCAGGGCCTCCGACTTGTGGGTTTTCAGTTGGTTAGCCGGAAATCAAATTCTGCCCTACCAGAAGCCTTCTGGTAGCGTAGGACCCAGAACTGATCGTGCCGAGTTCCTTCGGCAATGTGCGTAGCCTAAAGAAAAAGGTAAACGAGGTGGGTCTATTAGCAGACAAATTTCATAGTTGTAGAGAGCGAAAAACAAAACCCGTGTCAGCTTCATCACCTCCCGTTCATTGGCTGGAGGACACGTGTCGTTGCTAAACTGTGTTCCCGGAGGGATTGTTACAGCTGCAGCAAAACATCGGAATCCAGGCATGCTCAGCATGTAGTTGTCCAATCGTTCTTTAAAACATTCCTCTGTATGGGCAATTACCATACATTCAGGGAGATTGTTCCACTCATTCACAACCCGTGTTGATAACGCGACATCGGACCGGACATGGTTCCTCCGAGGTTTGAAAGTTTAGAGCTGCGGCCCCGTGTCGAACAATCTGTGCTGACCTGGAAAAACTGTTGCATCTCCCTCCCTAGATCGCCCCTTAAAATGCGTCTACTATAAGTCAGATCATCACGGCGATAGCGCTAGTCCAGAGTAAATAAGTTCATACATTGGCGACGAAGGGGATAAGGTAAAACACGTAGCATAGACACAGAGTTGGATCTGCGCCTCTGAACCTTCTCAATTAACTCACATTCAAATTTCGTGAGTGGGTGTATGGCAGGTAGCCCGTATGCCAGTATTGGATGAAGGTGGAAAGAAAACAGGAGCCTGAAGTTTTGCAGTGTCAATTTGTAGAACGACCTTCGTGTGGCACAGAGCATCCTGTTGGTAGATGCTACTTTCCGCAACCTGTCCTGGATTGTTCTTAGGTCTGGAGAAACAAATACACCCAAATCCTTCTCACCAACCACATTCTTCAGCAGAAAACCACCAATGTAGTAAGCATCGAAAGGTTCTTGATCACCGATCGGGAGAACACAGCACTTATCACGATTGGTAGGTATTTACCACTTGACAGACCAATCGTGCAGCAGATCCAGCGTCAGTTGCGACCTGTCAGCATCTTCAAGCCTGGATACTTCCGACCACAGTTTGAGATCATCTGCATAGATCAAGCAGTTGAGTTGGAGCACCTCCGGGAGATCGTTGATAAGGATTTTGAATAGTTCGGGACCAAGAATGGTCATCATCATCATCAACAGCAGTACATCAGCCATTTGAACTGATGCTTCGCTGCCATACAACCATGAGGACCTATGAAATAAAGAATAAGAAAAGGGAGAGAAAGGGGACTTACCTGAAAACCTTAATGCCCCAAGCAAACATTCAGGGTCAAGGCGCCTACAACTTGTGTAGACAACATACCGTCACAAACAGCTGGCTATCGTGCAAATAAGGTGGCATCGGCGAGACAGCTGCCTTGCGGCTTTCACTGACACGCGTCATAATCAGCCATTACCCCGCAGATAACTCAGCACCAAACATACTTTAAACAGGCAATCCGATTAGAAGACGACAGCAGACGCGCCACTGGTGTCGGTTGCGAGCCATGTCCTGTAAAGTCTCGAGCCAAGCACAAGGTGAGTCACGTGGACTCCAACCCGGAAGGCGAGAAGGACCAACGGCACCCAGTTTAGTCGTCAGTGACTTCATTTCCCGCTGCCAGGTCAACTTCTGTCCACCTCGAGCCTTGCGCCATCCTACACCTGGGAGACTGAACAAGGCCCTCCTAGGTAAGCGGTGACCAGGCATGCGTAGCACGTGCCCGAGCCAACGCAACTTATTCAGTGCTATCTGATGTTCTAGGGAGCTAGCATGATTATCACCACCTAGTACTCGCCTACGCACATCATCGTTGCGGACATGCTGGTGCCATCCAACACCAGCAATGCTTCGCAAACAACGATGATCAAAGACTTGAAGGCGCCTCAGATCTTCAGACCGAAGGGGCCAAGTTTCACTACCATACAGCAGAACAGCCCTCACTGTGGCCTTGTATACACGGCCTTTCAGACGAAGGGAAACTCCCTTCTGTCGCCAAAGATGACGCAGGTTCAAGAAGGCAGCTCTGGCCTTTGCAATGCGTGAGCTCACGTCAGTTTCTATGCGCCCATCATTGCTGATGCAGCTGCCAAGATAAGTGAAATGATCAACCACCTCGAGTTCCTCGTTAGCAAGCGTCAAGGGGGCATCAAGTGGCTGGTGGTCCTGCAGCAACACTTTGCACTTTGAAGGTGCAAAGTGCATACCAAATAATGGGACCACTCTGGACAGGCTATTCAGGGTTGATTGTGCCGTCCCAACATCGTCGAAAAGCAAGACGATATCGTCCGCATAATCTAGGTCAACTAACCTTTCACCAGGCAGCACTTCAACGCCTACATCGTTGGATTGCGTGAGGGAACACTCCATGATAGAATCCACGACGAAATTGAACAAAAACGGGGAAATCGGACAACCCTGACGAACGCCACTTGTAGTCGAAAAGCTGTCCGATAGGACACCATAGACCCTGACGCGGCCTGCAGTGTTTGAGTATAGAGCACGAAGGATGTTCACATACTTCGTGGGAACACCTTTCCGCGCAAGTAATTCGAACAGAATCGATCGATCGACCGAATCGAACGCACTCTTGAAATCGAGGAACACAGCTATTGTCGGTCTGCGGTATGCGTGGCGCTGCTCTAGCACCTGCCGCAAAGTGAATATATGGTCTATACAGCCACGTCCTGGGCGGAAGCCGGCCTGCTCTTCCCTAATCCGAGATTCCCGTTCTGCAGTGAGGCGACGAACGATAATCGAGGCCAGTAATTTTGTCACAACTGGCGTTAGGCTAATACCCCTGTGGTTCGCACAGTCTGTGCGACTGCCCTTCTTGTATATTGCCACTATAATCGATTCGCTCCACTTAGCCGGCACACTCTCTTCGTTCCAGATACGTTCGAATAGGGAGGTCAGTGCTTTGCAGAGGACCTCACCTCCATCCTTAAATAGTGCAGGTGGGAGGAAATCCGGGCCAGCGGCACGAAAACGATTAAGGGCTGTGATCGCGTTTCGGACCTCGGCCTCCGATGGAGGCTCTAAACTAACCGTCCATGGCACGTCCTGCATCACCTGAGTAGGCAGAGGTCCGGGAGCAGGGGGCCAGCTGAACTGATCTTCAAAGTGTTCAGCCCAACGAGCCATACGGCGCTCCTTATTGTGTATCAGCGCACCCGCGCTGTCTCTGATTGTCTCACTGACACCTGGTTTTCTGGGACCAGTGGCGCGGATTAGCTGGAAGAGCTTCCGGTAATTGCCTACTGCTCCTGCCTCCTCCATTTCTTGAGCCCGACTGGTCCACCAGGTTTCCTTGTCAGCACGTAGGCTACGCTTTAGTTCACGCCTAATAGCCCGTCTGGTCACATTGTGTTCAGAACCAGCCGGGAGGTGTCTTCTAGCTTCCAACAGATTCACGGACCTCTCAGATATCCAGTGACTGGTGCGGTGACGACTGATAGTGCCACAAGCAGATGCTCCTGCGTCGTGCATGGCGGCCGAGATCCTATTCCACTGAAGTTCAGTGTCATTAGGACAAGACAGCGAGAGTTCGGTATGTAATGCTTCTTGATAGGCTTGCCTGACCGAGGGCTGAGACAATTTCACCGTTGCCAATCGGGGGAGACGCTTTGTGCGCCTTCCGGTAAACTTCATGGAGAAACGACAGCGCACCAGGGCATGATCAGAGTCGACACAGGTACTCCAGTACGAGCGGCAATCCAGAATGGAACCGCGCCACCTGTAACCAAGAATGGAGCTTTGTGTAACCCCACTGGTCGTAAGAACAGGACCAGAGTCAACTTCGTTAACCTTCACCCTCATACTACGGTCATCTTGGAAATCAGCGGTCAAGGTGAGCAAATTATCAGCGATACCAAGCTGCCGAAGTCTGCTAAGAAGTCACTTGTGTGGAACCCTATCAAACGCTTTGCTAACATCCACAAAAGCCACATCGATGCGATGACCAGCATCCACTGACTGCGCCCATTTTTCTCGGGTAACAAGCAGATTGGCAATGCAAGAGTGTGTCCTCCGAAATCCGTGCTGAGCGGGAGAGATGACGCCCAATTTCAAAATCCTTTCCATGGTTTTGCAGAG